CAGGTCACGGGGTCTATGTACAGGTACAGGGTAGGTCTAGGGATCGAATCTCACTCAGCACACAGGGTCAATGTACAGGGTTAGGGCACAGGTCTAGGGATCGAATCTCTGTGACTGCAGTACAAGGTCAACTGGGTGAAACCGTTTCAATTACATACGAAACAGCATCATTAAGAGAACAGACGATTTGAAGATCAGAAATGAAATGAACGGAAGTATGAAGCTGAAGGACGGACGCGAAGACTGTATAAGCTGAAGATCTGAAGTGAAATGAACAGGGGTATGAAGCTCTGAAGAGATTCACAGGGGCATACCTTCCCTTTTACTCTGCCTCCTGAAATAACGTGCAAGTGAGCCGTGAAGGCACACGGGGATGTGGGCAGCTGCCGCTCAACCACAATCAACGTGGGCAGCCTTGTACGTACGAGGCACAGTAAAAGGGGAGCTGCAAGAACAATGAAAGGGGTACCCCAAGGAAAACCAAAAAACTGTCCAATTATAAAATTGCTTTAATATGTTGCACATCTCAAATGCTCTCGTTGTCTGCAATAGGACAGACTGCTTTGATTCTGAATCTATTGACCTGGGTGGATTTGGGGCTGTTGTGGGGAAAATCTAAAACACACACACACACACACACACACACACACACACGGAGGTGGAATTGGGGCTGTTGTGGGGGAAATCTAAAACACACACACACACGCACACACACACACACACACACACACACAGATCGCTGACGGATCTCCCTCTTTCTTGTCAGACGAATGACGGACACAGCAGTCCGAGGAGGAAAATAGACTTCTATATGAGCCACCGGCAGAGCGATGTGCTCATCCTTTATCACCACCAGGGCGAGATGTTGCAGACCAAATCCTGCAGCAGCTGAACGCCCTTGCTTTGGACCGATCCTCCCTGTTGTCGTCTGCCCATAGAGACGGAATAAATACTGAGGAAACCCAAGAAAGATGCTCTATGCGGCTTTGTGATGACCCGCCGGAGATTCAACTAGCATGTGGTTCACATGCCTTGTGCCGTGAGGATTATGAAGGGATAGTCCATGCGAGTTTTGCTTCCATGCGTACGACGACAGTGAGTACTGTACTCCTGTACGGCACCCTGACATGTCGTGTCCAATTTGTAGACACGGGCTGGAATGGCAATGCCTCTATAATTGCGGTCAAAGTGCCTTTGTGCTCCTAGTGCAAGGAAAATGAGCGATAGTGAACTTCAGAAATCAAACAGCATCATACACATGAGACCAGATAGTCATGACCTCGAACCAATAGCAGAATTGCATCACGAGTTCAACCAAATAAGAGCACAGCAAAAGCTCATAATTGACAATGCTGGAATGGTCTCATCATCATCAATGAAGAACCAATGTCGATATCCTATCTGGCGCTCGGCGCCCAGACTACAAATGGCAGATCCTATCGAGC